TTTTACCTCCTGTCCGGTAAAAAAAAAAAACAGAAAATACCAGACACCTAAAATGTCTGGTACTTTCTGATTTTTTTTCCTGGCCAGGAGGCAAAAATCCTGGGCTGTCCGGCTCAATACGGAGGCAGTCTGGCAACCCTAGTGCTTACTGGATTCCACAGGGGAGCTGTCCGGCCCTGCGCAGGGAGGCAAGATGGCTGGTGGCCGCCGGCTACCTGTTAGGGCCAAAAAGCCTCACCGTGCATTTTTTAAAGGGGCTATAAGCCTCACCATGCATTTTTTAAAGGGGCTACGGTGTTGGGTTGGTTTTTTTTGGTTCGGTATTTTTTCTGAAAGCATCTGGCAACCCTAGTTACAAGGGAGTCCACGCCGCTACCTCCTCCGCTGGATGGCTTATGAATGGAGCCCAGTTTGAAAAGCGTGCTCCGAGCACACTTACAGCCCTGATCCTTCAGGTGAGAGAGGAGGGGAAATCTGGCCTTCCTGTGCTCTGAGGGTCATGCTGGGGCTGGGGTTTGGGCAGGAAACAGGCTGTGCTGCTTGAACTTTTTGCCGGCGTGACTCCCATTTCAGCCTTCTTGCGTCTCGCAACCCCAAACGGCATGGAGGGAGGATGCTTTTACAAAATGTCTTCCTCTGCACAGGCTGGCTTCACATGCACCATACCTGCATGGTTACGTGCCACACCGGCTGCGTAGAGCAAAATGGCATCCTCTCCGTCCTCAGGTGTGCCGCTAAGACAATTGTGCATTGGCAATGCAACCCTACTTGGAGCCATGCCCCTAACTGTGGGAACCGCTGGCCTAGAGCAAGGCAGAAGTGCACATCTCTGGAGGCAGAAACCTGGATGCCAACTAGATTTAGGCACTGAGTGAATTTAGGTACCTCCAGGATTAGGTGGTAGCCAAGCAGGAGTTCTGTGGATCTCCATGGAGCCTAAAACTAGGACGTTGTGTGTGTACACGCGTTTAGTACCCAGATCACTGATTTCTATATTCTGTCCTTCACTTAAAAAATCAATTTTTGTGGTTGCAGTTGCTCTCTAAGCAAGCAAATCAAATGGAGGCACATTAACAGTGCTTCTTGCTGTGCTAACGAGCAATTTCTCTTAATCAATGAATAGCAACCCGCAAGCCGGATTCCGATTGTACGTATTGCTGTAACTACAAATTACAGGGTGAATAGTGGGAAGGAGTGCAAGAAAAGAAAATTGAGGCTGGACATTTACACAGATTTACTTACAATACGGTTGATTTAACTATGGAATAATCTCCAGAGCAAAATAGTGGGAACGCTTTTAATGGTAGCTTGGAAAAAAATACTACAGGGATCAATGTTACACTTTTAGCAGCAAGGTGACCTAAACTGATTTTGTCCATTTATTTATATATTGCACCTGTTAGCTGAAAAATTAGGGTACATCACCTGTATGAAATTATGCAGGGATAGATGCATGCAGAGATGGGTGGCAGGGTGAATGCCTGGTAAGGCTCAGGAAAACATTTCTAATAGTAAAATTTATAATACCTATAGCAAAACTGTAGGTATAATAAACAATACTAGCTGTAGCACTAAAATGTTACAATAAAATAGTCTCGTATTACCTTATTTAGAATTATTAAATTAAAAAAGTTTTAAAAGTGCAACTAGAGTAAATCCTTAGCTCTCTTGAGTATTGCTACATAGTTCTGTGCTCACAGAACTCTTGCAAAAAAACCTGCTACAATATCCCACAGTAACCAGTCAAAACAGCTGTAGTTATGTGCTTCTTGGTAAAATGTGAAGATTTTGGTGGTCTGTGTGGAGGTAGTAGTGTTGTGAATGAGAAAGTGGGAGATGTTCACTGACCCTGAGAATCAAAACAGATATTGAACACTGTCCATTGAATGAGACAGGGTCATGTAGAAAAAGTCGTGTGTTACCACGTAATGGGGATGGATCATTTGATGGTTACCTGTTCCATTCATTTCCTCTGAAATATCTGGCACTGGCCATCTGGATATTGGTCTAGACCAGGGGTGGACAATAATTTTCACTGGGGGGCCACTTAATGAATTTTGGTACTGGTCACAGGCTGGCTCCACTCTCGGAAGGGGCGGGGCCTGGGGAAAGGGGCGGGGCTGGGGACTAGCCTCACCTCAGAGTGATCTGTGGCCAGAGGATTTGAATTAAAAACACAGCAAAGGACTTGTGGCTCCTGGCCCCGCTGCTACCACGTTGCCTGGCAGTTGCCTGGGGTTGCTATGGCTATTTGAAGGGCTCCAGGTTGCAGCACTACCCCAGCAAGGGCTGGAGCTGTGAGCCCTGCAGCCAGGCAGCGCAGTAGTAGCAAGGCCGTGAGCCCTGTACATTGCTGCTATTTAAAGGGTTTTAGCTCCCAGCCCCACTGCTACTGTGTTGCCTGGGAGCTGCCCAGCTTGCTATGGCTAAGGGCTCACTGTTCAGGCTCCTGCTGGGGTAGCACCACGACCGGGAGTCATGAGCCATTTAAATAGGATCCTGCTGCTTGAGCCACCACCTGGAAATTCAGGCATGGGCAGCAGGATATAAATAGAAAGCAGCAAGATGCAGCCTGTGGGCCGGATCAAAGTGTCAGGTGGGCCCCCGGACCGCATCTTGCCCAACCATGGTCTAGATCAGGGGTCGGCCACCTTTCCGAAGTGGCATGCCAAGATTTAACCCTCTGCCCGGGGGCTGTGCCACTCTCCCGGGGAGATGGGGGTGGCTCTCTCCACCGTGCGCCCTGTGGACCACCAGGGTCAATGCAAACCTTTCCACAGACTACCAGTGGCTAATGGAAGCTCACTGTTAATTACATAATCACGCCCGAGCCATTTTGCTAGTGCTGCAGCTGCGGAGAACAGTTTAATTTAAATTTCTAAACAGATGAAGCATTTTAACGTTCTCATGTTAGTTTATCAAATTTCATTTTAAATAAAGTAAAATGTTATGTCCAACATAAAAGGTTTCAGTGTTTTCATTATTTGTGGCAGGGGCGGGGAACCTTGGGTTGAATTCCCCACCCCTTGGGTCGGGGGTCACTGACCCCCAGAAAAATCTGTTGGGGACCACACAAGTGAGAAGCAAAAAAACTCCCCAAACCCCCAACCCTCACTGATATGGCCCCCAACTGAGACACCTCACTCCTCTGGCACTCCAGCCCCACGGGGTGAGGAGAAAGGGACAGGAAGCGCTGAGGTTCAGGGATTCCCCTAGGCCAGATTTACTCTTCTGGGGTTCCAGAGTTAGTGGATTTTGAGGCCCCCCTTCGACTCTGGGGTGGGAACAGAAATGAGGGGTTCAAAGTGCAGGACAGCTGCCAGCGCGTGGGACAGGGATGCTGGGTCGGGGGGGAGGGGGGGTGCAGGAAGAGGTGAGGAGGGCAGGGTCTGGAAGGGAGTTGGGTGGCAGGAGGGGCTTGGGGGCTGGAGGGGTTTGGGGCAGTAACACAGAAAAGGTGAGAGGGTGAGAATGCAGCTGAATAGCTAGTTGGGGAGGGAGGCAAAGAAGTGGGGAGTAAAGGAAAGTGCAGCTTCTGCAAAGTAAAATTGCACCCCCCCTCACATCTTCCCTATGCTCCAGACTCACTCCCCTCAGCCCCATTATCTCTCCCCCCCCCCCCCACTTGACTCCTCCCCCCCCC